TGACTTTGTTTGTTGTCCAACGGAATAGTTTGTCGTCTTGAATGAAATATTGAGCTGCTTTTCCGCGGAGACGTCTAACTGCCCATTTATCTTTCGGACTGTTCCTTCTAGTAAATATGCTTTAATTTCATCTTGCCATGGCTGTTTCTCTTACTCGGCATCGAGTTCCATTGTATCGTTATCTTTTTCTTCTTGATGCATGGCCATATTACATGGCCCTTTGGCTAATTGAATGCTGGGCTGATCGATGGTTTCTACTGGAATCGTTCGGCGAAGTGCTGGATCTGTTGATGATGCTAGTGCTGCTAAGAAAGAGTATCTTTGTCAGCTCGAAAGAGTCAAACTGCTTGGTTATTTCCTGGGCTTGTTTTAAATAGGCGTCCATCCATTCATTCTTGGTGTCGTAATCCCCATTAAATTGACTGGCGACGAGCTGAGAATCTCAAAAAGCGTAAATATTTTTTTCTCCTATTTCTTTGGCGAGGTGGATCCCTGCAATTAATGCTTCAGACTCAGCTTCATTGCTTGAAGCTGGAAAGCCGAGCTTGAATGATTGTTCAAGAACTTTTCTCATTGGTGACTTTAAGTAGATACCAACTCCTGAACCCTGCTTCGAGGAGGCTCCATCGACATATAAGCTCCACTTGTTTTCTGTGGGTGTTTCGTTGTTCAGTATATCTGGTAGTATTTCAACCATAAAGTTGGCTTAAACTTGAGATTTGGCGCTAGTACAAGCTCGGTACTCAATGTCATACTCGGAAAATTCTATCGCCCACTTAGCCATTCGACCGGACTGACTAGGACTCTGTAGAATACTCCAAAGTGGTTGACTGGTGAAGACGACAATGGCGTGGGACTGGATGTAGGGTCGTAGTTTTTGTGCCGATATAATTACTGCATATGTGAGTTTCTCTAGGGCCGGATAACAGGTTTCAGCTCCATTCAGAGTTATTAGGTAGAAGATAAGTTTCTACTCGCCGCGATCCTCTCTGACGAGGACGCCGCCTACTGCTGTTGTTTATACTGCAATGTAAAGATATAATGTTTTGCCGTTCTCTGGTTTCGTTAAGATTGGTGGGGTGGTCAGATACGCCTTTAGTTGCGTGAAAGCCTCCTCATATTTGTCATCCCAGTCAAAGCGCTTATTACTCCGAAGTAATTTGTAAAAGGGGAGGCATTTGTCTGTGGAACGCGGGATAAATCTGTTTAGCGTGGCGATTCTTCTCGTTAGTCGTTGTACTTCACATGTGTTCTTGGGTGATGGAAGATCCAGTATTGCCTAGATTTGGTTTGGGTTTGCTTCTATCCCTCTATAGGTGATGACGTAACCTAGGAATTCTCCTGAGGTTACCCCGAAGGTGCATTTAGCTGGATTCAGCTTCAGTCTTTATTTTTCGAGGGTTTTAAAACAGTCTTTGAGATGTCCGACGTGATCCTTAGCGATTGTGGATTTTATGAGCATGTCATCAATGTAGACTTCCATGGTACGACCGAGCTGGCTGGCAAACATTTTGTTTACTAACCGTTGATATGTGGCTCTTGCGTTTTTTTGTCCGAAAGGCATGACTTTATAGCAGTATGTTCTGCGATCCGTGATGAACGCCGTCTTTTCTCTGTTGTTGGGGTGCATGAAGATTTGATTATATCCAGAGAAAGCGTCAATAAAGGATAGTAGCTGATTTCCAGCTGTTGATTTGACGAGTCGATCGATATGGAAGAGTGGAAAGTACTCTGTTGGGCAAGCTTTTTGAGGTCGGTAAAGTCAACGCAAACTCTCCACTTGCCGTTCTTCTTTTTAGCGACGATGGAGTTAGCTAACCAGTCTGGGTATTGAACTTCTGTAATTGACCCAGCTTCGAGTAGTTTTTCTACCTCGTCAGTTACTGCTTAAACTTTTTATGGGCCGAGCTTCCGTATTTTTTTTTGTTTTATATGTTTGAACGTGGGATCGATGTTCAACTTATGCGATGTAATTTTGGGGTTGATTCCTTTCATATCCTCCATAGACCAAGCGAACAAATGTGTATTGTTCCTCAGGAGTTTGATGAGCTTGGCTCTAATGTCTTCCTCGAGGTAGCCGCCAATGCTGATGACTCTCTCTGGATGCTTTTTATCTATGCTTACCTGTGTAACCTGTTCGGGTTTTAGTCTTTTATGGTAGGGGATGCGTGGGTCTATATCTTCGTTCACCATGCATGATGATGCCATTCTAATTTTTCTTTCGATTAGGAGGCAGTTTCGTGCTGTCGATTGATCCCCCTTTAAGGTGAACATGCCGGTGGGTGTTGGGAATATGATGCATTGATGATAAGTCGAGGTGACGACTTTCATACTATGTATCCATGGTGTTCTGAGTATTACATTGTAAATAGTCGGACTGTCGATGATCAAAAATTTGGTGTTTCTAGTGAAGCCGACAATGTAGGATGCTACCTGTATCGTGGTGATACTATGGGTGGTGTGGTAATTGTTATTTCACCTTCGCCGATGTCCATTCTTGCCAGGGTTTCCTTAAAGATTACATTGATGGTACTACCGCTGTCAACCAAAGCTTTGGTGACTGTGCTCTCGTGAACTTGCAGTGTTATGACTAGTGGGTCGTTGTGTGGTGTATGAAGGCTTGGTAAATCGTCTGTCGTGTTTGCAACCGGTGCCTTGTTTTGCGGGATGGTCGGATTTCACCTTGCTGTTAATGCTCTTGTTTTGTAAAGTTTGATGGCTTCGAATGAATCTTTATCGTCAGACAGTTCTCATACGATCATGTTGGTATTGTCGTGTGATGCTTGTTCTCTCGTGGGTGTTGGAATCGTGGTGGTAGTGACGATAGATTACTGTGCTCATTAAGAGTAGGAGTTTCGTCGCGAGTGGCGGTATCCTGTTTGTTGAGAGTGAGGTCGCTGGTATTGGATGGAAGACTCATCACTTCGGGTCTTGTGTTGCTAGTTTGTTAAGAATTTATTCTCCTAGTCCCCACAGACGGCACTAATTGTTGAACAAGAAAATCACCACTAGGGCTAGTGATTAACAGTTGTGGGTTTCAGAGAATAAGATATTTATTAAATAGCTCAAAGACAAAGCGATGACAAGAGTTGGTATAATCGAGAGGTTATGCCGAAGTGAAATAAAAAATGTTTAAACGATAGACTAGAAAGCTTCGAGTTCTTTGGTATTGCTCTGCTGTTCTGTATAATGTATGAGTTGCCTTGAAGCTATCTGGGGTCTTCTTATTTATAGGAATAGGATGTCAGTTATTGCAAACTCCTTTTTTTGCGTAAATATTTTCATATTTACGATATGAAAATATCACTTATTCTCTGAGAGAAATGAAAATTCTCCTATATCCTTGAATATTCTCCTGAACTGATTTGATATCATAAGGATTAATAAGCATCCTCGAGTAGTTTTTTCTTTTAGATTAAATCGGTGCATCTTTCTTAATTTTGACAAACTTAAATTATTAATAAAAAAACCTTTTAAAAAATATGTTCATTTTCCGTATAACAGATCCAATAAAGAATGTGACAATTTATAAGGATACGAAAATGTATGGTTCGGCTATAAGTAATTTCTTAACAAAATTAGTTTTAAAATTATGTTCATTTTATATGTAAATTTATAATTAATACAAAACTACGTATATATAACAAAATTTCATAGTATCAAATATAGTTTTTTCGAGTTTCCCACATTGAAAAAAAGTTACAGATCCGCCATTAGTGATTTAGGAGAAATTGTGATGTTTAATTTTGACTTTTTCTGTGTAATTTAACTTTTAGCCTCCAATCAAGGCAAACATTCATCCATGTCATGTTGATCGCTGCACTTATCTAAAAAGAATATTTCCCTTTCAAGGTAAGCACGCTTATATAGATTTCCTTTAAGAACAAAACATTAAAACATACTATACTTTAATACCTTACCTATTTATATAGAAACATGCATTTGTTTTTTAGGTGTAGAAACATGTCAAGAAAATTAAAAGAGGAAAGGGTCAAAATTTTTCTTTTTTTTATCTCATCGAACAGTATCTTTAAATTCTTACATGTTGACGAATTTCTAAACCCAAGTGACCAAAGTCTCGCGTAATTAGCTTATGTGTTGACTTTGGAGGTGGACCTATAGGGGCCAAGGAACAGAACAAAAGTCCGAAACGCCTAAACGGCACATGGTTCGAATTTCAATAGTGGATACTATACACACTGCAAAAACCAGAAAGGAAGATAACTTTATGCTTTTCAAGCCAAACGAGCAGAAAAACGGCATGCAGTTCCCCGATTGATTCTAGGTTTTTTCTCACCAATCATCATCATCGTCATTATACGAGTCTGCATCTCCACCGTTGACTGAGTTAATACTGTTGTACATACTCAATAAATCCAACGGCTGTTATAATCTGCAGCCGAGCCATAAGCCGGTTGATCTTAGGCATGTGAGCATAGCTGCTTCTAAAATCGCTCTGATTGGCCACCGCAAACTGTTCTGGCGGCTAGCATTTCTCCATGTGATTGAATTTCCACGTCGACTGAATTTATCAAAATAAAATAAAATTACAAGCTAAAATATTTTGAGAGCCCAAATTATAATTTGTTTGATGAGTATATTTTTGATTAAACATTCATCTTTAACAGTATTTTATTCATATTGGAATGTCCCTTAAAAGCTTTTTTTTTTAATTTTTAAAACTTTTGATAATTTTATAATATAAATTGATTTTGAAAGTTTAAATATATATATATATATATATATATTATATACAATTTTTTAATAAACTTATATATAAAAATATATCTAGGGTCCATATTTTTTAAAATTTTAGCGTTTCTATCTTTTTGATTTGTTTGATTTTTCGCAAGTAATTGATGTTTAAAAAATATTTGCTTTATTACATCTTTCGAATTTAATCTTAACCGGTCTCGGTCTGAAACAACTGGCTTCATGGTTGAGATTTGAGAGTCGTTATATTACTCCGGTTTAGAAGCTGAGCCGAGAGAAACGCACAACTTGCCATAAGCCGTCACTAAGCCACGCCGTTGAGAAAAGTCATCGCCTTCTCACACCATTTCTCTCTCTCTTTTTTTTTTTCCGAGAAAATGTCTTTCGCACTTCTGCAAATGGTTCCGTTCTTTGTTTCCAGCTGAATCTTGGCACTGGAGTCCCAAACGGGAAATATTTCCTCCTTATTCGGAGAAGCTGCAAACTGTACGGACCGGATCGGAATCGGATCCGTAAACGAGAGAAACGATGGAGGAAGAGAAAGGTGCTGCTGCGCAGAGCTTAATTGATGTAGTGAACGAGATTGCGGCGGTTTCCGATTACCGTATAACGGTGAAGAAGCTCTGCAGCAATCTAGCGAGGAGGTTGAAGCTGCTTGTTCCGATGTTCGAGGAAATTAGAGAGAGCAACGAGCCGATCAATGAAGATACGTTGGGGAGCTTGGTCTCGTTGAAAGAGGCGATGTGCTCTGCGAAGGATTATCTCAAATTCTGCAGCGAAGGGAGCAAGATTTATCTGGTGCGTCTGTGTTTTTGAGGATTTTTCGATTTATTGGCATTTAGTTGATTAGATCTGTGTGGTCACTTAAATGAAAGTTTGACGAATTGTTCTCTCGTTGAAGGAGCACGTGGTCGTTTTTGCTGTGGTTTAGTATGAGTGATATCAATGCATCTCAAGTAGATTTGGTGTTTTAGCATCTCTGTGTTTTTTTTTTTCTTGTTTATATTGGTTTGATGTAATTTGATTGATAAAGTATATCTGATCTGTGAAAGTTGTTGAAGATTTTTGCTCTGATGAATTCGATTCAAGAACAGAAGATTTGACACGAGAGACCTTTTTGTTCTGTTTATAGGTCATGGAGAGGGAACAAGTGACAAGTAAATTGCTGGAAATTTCAGTTCGGCTAGAACAATCTTTGAGCAAGATTCCATATGAGGATCTGGATATATCTGATGAAGTTAGAGAGCAGGTACATCCTTTAGTTGATCACGAGTTCTTGAAATCAGTTCTATTCACATGGATAGGATCTTGAGCTTTACATATATGTACGTTTCATGGCGTTTTGTTGTTTTTTTCAGGTTGAGCTGGTTCTTAGTCAATTTCGGCGAGCCAAAGGGAGAGTAGATGCATCAGACGACGAGCTATGTGAAGATCTTCAGTCTCTGTGCATCAAAGGCAGTGATGTAGACGCTTACCAGCCTGCGCTGCAGCGGGTTGCGAAGAAGCTGCATCTGATGGCGATTCCTGAGCTAGCTCAAGAGTCGGTGGCTCTCCACGAAATGGTTGCTTCTAGCGGTGGAGACGCCGGTGAAAACATTGAGGAGATGGCGATGATACTGAAGATGATTAAGGATTTTGTGCAGACGGAGAATGATAACGGCGAGGATCAGAAAGTCGGGGTTAACTCGAGAAGCAACGGACAAACTTCCACGGCAGCGAGTCAGAAGATCCCCGTGATTCCTGATGATTTCCGATGTCCCATATCTCTTGAAATGATGAGAGATCCAGTTATTGTCTCAACAGGGCAGGTAAAAAAAGCTCACTTCAGCTTCATCTTGTTCAAAATTTTATTATTATAAAAGCATGTTCTTATTCTATGTAACAGACCTACGAGCGAACCTGCATTGAGAAGTGGCTAGAAGCTGGACACTCGACATGTCCAAAAACACAGCAGGCGTTAACAAGCACAACACTCACACCGAACTATGTTCTCCGCAGTCTCATAGCTCAGTGGTGCGAGGCCAACGACATCGAGCCTCCAAAGCCTCCGAGCAGTTTAAGACCGAGAAAAGTCTCGTCCTTCTCGTCACCAGCAGAAGCAAACAAGATCGAAGATCTCATGTGGAGGCTCGCTTACGGAAACCCCGAGGACCAACGATCTGCGGCTGGAGAAATCCGTCTCCTCGCGAAGCGAAACGCGGACAACCGCGTGGCTATAGCAGAAGCTGGAGCCATACCTCTTCTCGTAGGTCTCCTCTCAACACCTGATTCTCGTATCCAAGAACATTCGGTAACAGCTCTACTAAACCTCTCCATATGTGAGAACAACAAAGGAGCCATTGTTTCCGCCGGAGCTATCCCTGGTATAGTTCAAGTGCTCAAGAAAGGAAGCATGGAAGCTAGAGAGAACGCGGCGGCTACGCTTTTCAGTCTATCGGTGATTGACGAAAACAAAGTGACGATCGGAGCATTGGGAGCAATCCCGCCGCTCGTTGTACTGCTTAACGAAGGTACACAGAGAGGCAAGAAAGACGCAGCCACTGCGTTATTCAACCTCTGTATATACCAAGGGAACAAAGGAAAAGCTATACGCGCAGGAGTGATTCCGACTTTGGCTAGACTTTTAACAGAGCCAGGAAGCGGAATGGTCGATGAAGCGCTCGCGATTCTGGCGATTCTCTCAAGCCATCCTGAAGGGAAAGCGATCATAGGATCCTCTGACGCAGTGCCGAGTCTAGTGGAGTTTATCAGAACCGGCTCGCCGAGAAACAGAGAGAACGCAGCTGCGGTTCTAGTTCATCTCTGTTCTGGTGACCCACAGCATCTGGTCGAAGCGCAGAAACTCGGGCTTATGGGTCCGTTGATAGATTTAGCTGGGAATGGGACAGATAGAGGGAAAAGAAAAGCAGCACAGTTGCTTGAACGTATAAGCCGTTTAGCTGAACAGCAGAATGAGACGGTGGCTGCTCAGGGACAAACCGAAGAAGAAGCTGAACCAACAACACATTCAGCAGCAACAACCACAGAAGCTGCTGATACTTGAAAAAGATTGTTTTTTGTTTGTTTTGTTCATTTCTCCCCAAATATGTACGTCTGTTTATTATTCTCACTTTTTTTGTTTTTTCTGCTACTTGGGTCCTCTCCTTCGAGGTGGGCTTTCACTGTAGACGGCGGAAGCAGAAGATGGCCTCCTCCTCCTCCGACGACCTGTTTTAACCTTTCTGTGCGACGGAGCAATCCGGTGCTCAGGAGAGAAAGGCAAATATGCATACATACATGTCAACTTGTATCATTGTAACACTTTTATCATGTTTGTAATCAATTCCACGGGCTTTACTTTTTGGTATTTAATACAAAGCTATCTGTTCACTTTCTAACTAGCATTACTAGGAGATGTTGATTGGATATACATGCAGATTTTGATTTTGATTTTTTTGCTTCATCTATTCCCGAAAAAAGGAAAATACTGAATAAATAAATTACTGATTATATTTTTTTTTTTTGCTTCATCTATTCTCGGAAAAAGGAAAATGGACATTTATGTGCCTAATTTTCAAATTTTAGATATTATAAATATTATTTTCATGTAATTCATTTAAATAACAAATTTTTTTATTGATCGATTTTTAAATCATAAATTTATGTTGACTTGGTTATATTAGGTGCGATGTTAAAGTTACTAATAGATTGATTAAACGATGTTTAATCTTCGTTTGTTAGTAAAACTAGATGAGTACCCGCGCAATGTGCAAATTTTTTTTTACAATATAATTTATCAAAAAGTATAGTTACAATTTATTTTATCGTATATTTTAAAAAATTCAAAAGATATTGTGTATTTGAATAAAAATATAATACATATTTATATATTATGTGGATATTAACTATATATGTGATCAATCGTTTATTGATAAGAAAATGTAAAATATATTATATCTTGTATATATAGAATATATTAAATAGATATAGTGCAAATCAGAGAAGTACTATATAACAAAAATTAATTAGAGAAACTCTTCAAGTACAACATAGATAGAGATGACTTATTTTAACAGGTCGTACTTGTTCACAGCGTAGATTTACACAATAGAAATGCCGTGGTTTTATATTTTTATAAGCTTAAATAATTGATCTATTAAATATTTTATAAATATATATATATATATATATATATATATTAGGACTTTGATATCTTATTAATTTTAAAATTAATAATGGATCAAGTTTTAATAAAATAAATTATCAAATAATTATTAGTTTATAAAGAAATTATTTTAAAGTTTATTATAATATTGTATAAATTTTTCTTCTAACTTTTTAAGGTTCAAAATATAAAATAATTTTTATTTTTATATTTGTATAACTGTTTTTATAATAATATTTTATAATATTAATTAAAAATAAGAAAACACTCTTAAATATAAAACATAAATTTTGTTAATAATTTTTAAAAACTACCACATAATAGATATTCAATAATTATTTTTGGATATTATATATACACTGTTATTAAAATATATTATATAATTCTTCATATTTTCATTTTCTTTTAGTATTATGATTAATAATACATTAAATTTATGCATTAACTGTATTTTACATAATTTGTATCATTAATTTTTTAAAATAACACATGTTATTTTCTCAATAAATCAAAATGATGAGGTGTCACTCATATAGAGAGAGTTGACCATCTTTTATAGTATAGATTAATGTTATGCCTAATATGACCAGTCAATAATTTAAAATTTAAAAAATAGTCAACATAAAAATTTGTTATTTAAACCGTCCATGCAGAACTTAATGCTTATTTTGGTCGTAATTTAAAAGTTTGGCATTTAAACAGCATTTTTACTGAATGGTAAATTCTATTTCTAATGAAAAAGTATCTCAAACTTAAGAATTTGCAATGTGAAAAATTAAAAATCTCAAGGTTTTTGAGATATGTAATTATCAATAAAACTCATGTGTTATTGATGAAAGAGTGTCTTAAACTTAACTTATTGAGGTTCATGAAATAACAGATGACTCACTTAACAATGTGATTTTCGAGACAAAATCCAAATACTTCAAGATGGTAAAGTTATTACAGTTCTCTCTCACAGCTTGAAATTCGAATGTCCGTAAAACTATAGTCATGAGCGATAAATGATTACTGTTTTTTATGTACTAAACGCAAACCAAAATAATTATTTTTATGATAGCACCAACGAGGTAGAATAATTTTTTTTTTAATATTTGGCATTCTTGAAAAAGAAAAAAAAGTATGATTCGTACACACCACACAAAATCCGTTTTTATGATTCAATTACGTAAATTTAAAAGTTACTGTGGTGCTAGAAACACTAGTCGCACGTAATTAGTTGTTAGTCTTTCCTAATTATGGATTGCATATTACTAGTCGTTTATTCATCACAATCTCAACTTGTGAATGTAGATTTAGGGTTTTGTAAAATTTGCATTGTTAGAGAATTATTAAATGTCGTTTAATTGATATTTTAAGGTTAAACTCAATCTTTTTTGTGTAATATAAATTTAATTTATGTTTAAATATTTTCTTTAAATCAATTTTGATTTATTTGGTTTAGTAATTATGTAAACTGATGAAGTAGAAGTTATCAATTAGTAGAAAGAAAAGAAAAATGTTATTTAAATGCCATTTTTTTTTAATTTTGATTATTTAAATGAACAACTTAAAGCCGTTTTTTCTCTCAAACAATGGCGATCCTTTTCGCGATCTAGGTTTTTAAGTTTTTTCGGATCTATGGTAAATCTGTTGAGAGGATTAACAGGATTTTGTGGGATTGAAGGACAACATGGCAACAAGATCTACGATGTATTTAGGGAGACTACGACAGAGGGGATACACAATTTAAAAGGAAAGTTCGGGATCTCACGGGAGGAAAAGATATAAGGAAACACAATAAGGACTGGGAGTTACGGAATCAAGGATTAGAGTTTGGTCATTTGGAATTCTGGTGATTTCTGACATCTCTGGCATGACTGGAGATTGTGAGGATAACGAAGGATCAAAAGCGATAAAGGTAACGAGACATTTGACGATAATTTCGGGTTTCACTTATGGGATTGAGGATACGAATGGGGATAATATAAAGGAGAATTTGCAGGGGAACATAATCATACACTCTTATCAGCTTGATCTCTTTCTTTACTCACGAGAATATATCAAACTTGGTTTCTCAGGCTTAGTGATGTCTCAAGAAATTTAATTGGTCAATGGCGGTTCCAGCAAGAGAAAGGAAACACTGGCACCACGGTTGAAGACTACGGTTCCCCGCTTTGATAACACAAAGCTGATAAAGGAATATAGCCTCACTCTTATTGATCGGTGCATGAACCCGACAATCCAGGAGATGAAGGCGCTCATATTTATGCTCTCGAGGATTTGGAAGGTTGAAGAACGTGTGGCAGGAGCAGACCTCGGAATGGGGAGGTTTTAGTTCTACTTCGATGAAGAGGAGGATATTCAGGCGGTTCTTCAAATGGAGCCTTTCCATTTTGATGGATGGATGGTGGCTCTGGTTAGATGGGAGCCTATTATTGAGGTTAACTACCCGTCTGTACTCACCTTTTGGGTCCGAATGATGGGAGTTCCTCTCCATTTTTGGGCTAAAACAACATTCCGCAATATTGGACAGGCCATCGAGATTGTGAAGCAAGTGGATTTAGATGGTGGGAGGGTGCAAATTGCTATCGACGGTTTCAAAGCAATCATTTTTGAGACAACAGTGGAGTTTCACAGCGGGGAAGAGGCTACTGTCATTCTCCGGTATGAGCGCTTACACGAGTTTTACCGGGAATGTCTGAGCCTCCGCTATGAATCCAGTAGATGCCCTGCATTGATACCAAAGAGGGAAAGAAGAGATGAGATGAGACACTTGGAGGAAAAACCAGATGGAGGATCAAAGAATTACAAAGGAGCATTTGAGGGATATGGGGAAAGCATGAGCGAAAACACAGATCAGAAAAGAATGTAGGGCGAGTCTTCCAAAGGGAAAGGCAAGCTAACAAAGACTAGAGAAGAGGTGAAATTCTCGAGACCGAGGGGATTACAACAGAAGCTGACTGGTGATATATCGCAAAGACCTTTTAGGCCGTTACCGTCGAGAGATGCCATGAAACGGTTTGGCAGAGCATCTAGGAGTATTCATCGCTCTGCAGAAGAGCAAACCTCTGGGAGAAGGAATGATAGGGATCAGCAAGGGATGGGAACGAAAAACAAACTTGGGAGAAGTGACAAAGACAGTCCTCCTTTACACTCTGCCAAGAAGATAAGGAAGGGATTAACCTTTGAGGATAATACGGTGGGAATGGAGGATTTAGATACTGGAATCAACCAAGGCACAATAGAGGAATCTGAGGAAGCAGTAGCAACAGAAAATGAAGTCGGGGTTCAGGTGGAAGATAGGGGAAAAGCCCAGGAAGATCGAATTGAAGACTTTGGCTTCGAAGAGGAAGGACTTATGGATGATATTTCTGGGGAATTTGATATAGCGGATCTAGAGGATACTTTTGAGGAGATTGACGATGCTCAACTACCGGGTATCGATAGCATTGAAATCGAGTCCCTCCACCTCGATCAAGGGGAACCAACACTCGAAGCGACCGTGAGGAGAATCCACCCAACGAGACGATCAAGGTACCATTAAGAACAGGTGCAAAGAAGAGGCTCTTTAAGCCAGCATATGTTGTGGGTGGTGGCTCGCGAAAGATGATGCATGGTACAACACCAAAAAGAAGGGGAATTTAAAGGATACTAAACGAGGTTGAGAGAAGGGGGTGGTGCAACAGAGGAGGAGTGAGGCTCCGATCGAGGAGCAGGGAGAGAATCATAAAATTTAACGAGGGTGTTAAGGTGGAATTGCCAAGGTCTAGGTAATAGGTACACAATAAGCTATCTCAGGGAGATTTGGCGAAAGTTCAGACCGAATTTTGTTTTTCTTTCTGAAACAAAGCAGTGTTTTAATTTTGTTGAACAATTTCAATTGCATTTTGGGTATGATTTATTGTTTACGGTTGATCCGTGTGGTTCCAGTGGAGGCTTGGCTTTGTTATGTAATAAAAATTTTGATGTTAAAGTTATACTTTCTAATAAAAGAATTATTGATATAGAGGCTTCTATTAAAGGAAATTTGGTTTATATGTCTTTTGTATATGGTGATTCAGTTCAGAAATTAAAGGATCAAGTTTAAGAACGATTAACAAGAACGGGATTAGTAAGAAATGAACCGTAGTTTTTAATTGGTGACTTTAATGAAATCACAGGGAATCATGAGAAACGGGGAGGTACAATAAGACAAGCGTCTTCCTTTGTTGGTTTCAATACAATGATTACCAACTGTGGATTAATTGACTTCCAAATCGGGGAAACATGTTGTCTTGGAAGGGTAGACGTAACGGGCAAAATGTCCACTATAGA